CCTACCAATAAACAATTATGGAAGAGTTTAACACATAAATCTAGTAACAATTTATCAGTCAAGACAGTTACAGAAGGCAATATCGTAAAAGAAAAATCTGATAGAAAAGAAAATAAAACACTTCGCAATAATTTATTAAAAATAGCACCAGTGTCCAAGGTTCAATCTGATGTATCTTGTACAGCAAAGGTGGATACATACAAAAATAAGTTAGGTAAATTGAAACAAAATCTATATACATTGACCATTGATTCTGGTCAAAAGGATGTTAGATTTCAAAGTACGAAACATGTTGATATTAATACAATTATTAATCAGCTACCACCTCACATGATCAATAACAAAAAGATTGTTTTTATAGGACACGCCTCTGATAATGCACCTGGCGATAATAACAAAGAATCATCTTCCGAAGGAGTAATTCGCTTAATACCTGTTGGGTCTGAAAAATTATCGAAAATGAAAATAAATGTAGGAAATAAAAATCTTTCTCAAGCCGGTAAAGAAACTAACAGAAATAGTTCGAAAAACCAAACCGAGCCCTTTAAAAATAAATTACGACCTTTTCCCGGTAGGGTTATATATCAAAACGGACGGAAATATATTATTAAGCAATCATCAGGTCTTACTAAAAATTTAAAAACCCCATCCAATGCTGTGGTACCAGTGAAAAATGTACAAGGAACAGTGGAATCAAAATCTACAAATATTCCACCATTAGTGTTCTACAATATTCCACCATTGATACCCTTAGATTCCACTGAAATAGAAAATATATCGAATCAAGAAAAAACGAACTCATTTCATAATGATGTTTCCCCTTTAACACCTTCACCATCCCCGTCGGAATTATCGAATAGTTCTAGCTGCGATATTCAGTCGAAACAGACTTCTTTGTCAGCAAAGGGTTCTCAGAAAGTTGATGTACCTTATTTGAATACTGAACATAAAGACATTGGTATTGATGTACAAAATATGAACAATTCATTTGAAAGTTTAACATTTCATAAAGGAGAAGACCAAAATTTGTATCTCGATGTAAAGTTTCTTAATCAAAAGCCAATTTATTCTATTGTTGATACATCTACGATGATAACAAAATGTAGAGAAGAAATGCTAAATGAATTTTTTCATCTTTCTTATTTCGAATTGAAGAAACGATACGATCATTTACAAGAAATTGGTGAAGAAATATCAAGAGTAATGAATTTTGTAACTGATAATGTGATCAAAGAAAACTTAAAAGCAGTTCATATTTTGCAGACCGTGCTGAAACATTGTATTGATAAATGCATTCAGAAATCTGATGACACAGAGGAGAAAGATGCACTGTTACATGAATGGGAATCCGAATATGAGAAAACAGATGAAAAACCTGTTTGTAAGGCATGTAATAAAATTAAAAAACCCAAGTACTATATTCCAGGATTTTCAAAGCCTGCGAAAAACGATATATATTGTTCTTGCTATAAGCATATGTGCCACAAATGTCATACGTATCAAGGTAATTCGACGCGTTTCGTAGCTCATCAAACATTTCACGACAAGGAGAGACCGTATTTGTGCCCTGATTGTTATCGTAAATTTACATCATATAGATCGTTAGAAGTCCATACATGGACTACCTGTTTCCACACGCTAAAAAGGCGTGTTCTTGGTTGCAAAATTTGTGAAATAGATGGTTTTCAAGATATGGAATCTGTCGCAAAACATTTCGCAATTATGCACAGTCATAATAAGGTAGTTTGTGATAAATGTTACATTGTTTTACCATCATATTCCGAATATAGAAAACATCATAAAGATAAACATTCGGATGCAAATGACCATCAACCCATAAGGCTTGTACTATGTAAACTTGGGCGGTGCATTGTACGTTGCGAAGATTACATGTTACACATGGAAAAACATATAGTCGTTCAAAGATTAATATGGTTCACATGTCCATTTTGTACGTTTATTCATGTAGAGGCGAAACGAATTATGTCTCATTTGCAAAGTGAACATGAAACACGTTTAGAGGAACTTACAAGTTCCGAGACATTATGGAATACTTCTCAAGTGGAAACCGCAGCAAATTTATTGAAAAATAGTTTACAGCAAAATAAATTCACAAATGCACACACAGAGTCTTGCGAAGATGGAACTGTTATACCTAAGATTATAAATACTAGAACTATTACGTCTGAGGTATTTGAACATGGAGCTCAGGGGACGGATGATAACATAATAAATTATGAAACACCACTATGTTCTAAAGTTGTTAATGCTAATTCAGAATCTTCTCCAAAATTGAGTGGAATCATACCGAAGATACTCGATGTTAGGTCAATGGCTGACCTAACGTCGGATATTTCTGAATGCGACAAGATTGAAGCAACTTCGAAATTTATCGATACGACAACAAGTAAGATTATAAATGCTAGAAATATTACGTCTGAGATATTTGAACGTGAAGCTCAGAGGACGGATGATAACACAATAAATAAAGAAACTGAACAAAACAAAGCTCACCAAGGTCAAGAGATCAAAACTGAACTCGAACATGTCATTGATTGCGTATGGGATACCAAAACGATTCAACTAAGTCCCGGCCCAATGAAAGTTGAATCTCCTCAACAAGATCACCTGTCAGGAGTGAAAAACGACCAGAGTACATATGACACATCATGCGAAAAAGCAAAAATTCAATTAGATGAAACAAAACAAGAAGCAAGGGATGTTTCGAACAAAACACAGAGTCAAAAACAACCGGAGGCTATAACACATGAATTAATTTTGAAACCTCCTCCGCTTGTTAGAATTCCTCAACACGTGCTTGAGTTGAATCGATCTAAGAAAGTTGGGCAGATAGCGAAAGGAGGAAAAATGGGAGTATTTTCACGCGATCAAGAAGTTAATCGCTATTTTCCTCGACGAATTGCTCTAATCAATCCAACTAATTCAAATGAGATCCTAAACTTTCCGTGTCCTTTATGCAGGGAATTAATAAATACATCCAAATCAGTTATAAGTAATCATTTTCAGGGTAAACATTTGCAAGATTGTAAGCTATCAGCAGTTGCCATAAACTTACTACGAATGTCACCAGAATTCATTAATGGTGGTTACAAGGAATTATTAGATAACAAAAAGCGCAAGTCCGAAAGTACTATATCGAGTTCAAAAAGAAGACGACGGTGGAATCCAAAAAAATATAATACCGATGGGAAAAACATAAATTTTACAGGACTTGGGTTATGTGTAACACAAGAAACAGCCGAAGATAGCGAGGGTAATTTCAGGTGTAAGAAATGTGATCAGCGATGCTCGAATATGACAAATTTGAGAGAGCATATCGCGTGCAATCATAGAATCAAAGGCCGATACTTAGTATGTCTGGAATGTGGAGACAATTTTGTGGTAGTACCTAGTTTACAAATGCATCTGAAAGCATTTCACGGGATAGAGGATCCCATAACTTATATGGCACAAAATACTTCCTACGCTCCTGATAATGTGGATGATCTCGAGGCTGAAGGAAAGTCTATCGAAGCAAATCAATGTCATGTTTGTATGGCGGTTTTTGAAGATAAGGCGGCGGTAGATAAACATCTTCGAGTCCATGGTATGGCGTTCTTAAATCGTAAAAGGATAGAAGCGCAAAATGCTTTGAAAATTCCAGAGAAAAAGAGCGAAATGGAGGAAGAAAAATGTACACCAATCAAAGCAAGTCCAAAAGAACTTATTCGAAAGGATAAACCAGCAGAAACTATACTGGAAAAAATCACTGTAAGTTTACATGGAACCTATTTCATCTTTTGATTATTAATATATTAACTTTGATCGTTTGTCATTTCAGGCAACTATATAGCTAATGGAGGCACGACTTTTCGAAACAAAATCGATCGGAAAATAGTACATATGTAGTAATATCTAGATTTAAATATGATCCTGAATCTGTGATTTTAACGTTTTATTTAATCAATGGAGAAACGTTTATTCGTATTCTAAATGAAAAAATTAGAAAAAAACTTGTTAATTATTTTATAGCATCGAAAAAACATTATTCAATGCTTTACTTTGAATATCGGAACGGATTTTGATTAATATTAAGATCAATACACATTGGAATTTAATATAAATTTCCTAATTTATGTTTTTCTATGTTTTATTTTATGTTTTTTATGGAATATGTACGTTCAAGATCTTTTAATTATAAATTGCATAGCTCTGTTAGATGATAATATTTGTGTATACTCTATACACATACATCCATATATTGTAAAGCGAACGCAATGTGTTAAGTTTCTTAAATGTCTTGGAATGCAATACCATTGTAAATATATGCAAATATTTATAGACAAATATTGCTTGTATAATTTATTTTATCAGAATTTTTTTCTTTATGTGTATTCAAATAATTATTCTCTCTATTATATGTACTGGTAAAACTTGTTCTCTTAATCTTATACGAATCAGCCTAACTTCTATCGTACATAATTATATCCATTACATCATTCGTATGTATGAAATCTGCAGTTGCAATTACGGCATAATGTAAATAATTGCTCTGTTAACAAAAATATATAATTTTTTCTACTCTACTAATTCATATGCATCGTTATATCCAAAAATAGATAAATAATAAAATATTCTGATTTACTTTCAAAGGAGATCACTACTTATTCTTAATAGAATGGAAATAATGTTATTTGCAATAAATAGGTAGAATATATATGTATGTCTTTATTACACCATTTTTAATTGCACCGACAAAGATTATTGCTTAGTATTAAGTTAATAATTCAGTGATTGACACATACGAGATACTCGAGGTACGAAACGTGGGAAATATTCCCACTTGTTTTCTTTTTATCTATATGTATATATATTTATTTATATAATATGTACTCTTTACGCGTATTAATGTTAAAATATCAGTACATCACACTTGAAGATTTACAGAAGAAACCAATATTTTTGTTTTTATGATTCTGTATTACGAAGAGATATTTTTCTGTTACATCGAGTGCAGGTACTTCAGGAAGGGTTGGGTTCTGAACACTTTGACGTTGGACCTGTAAGAGTATTTTCAGCATGCCCTCTACGACTTTACATAATTTGAGTCGTCTAGTTTTACGAAACGATAATGAAGCAATTAAAATACAGTCAGAATTATTATATTTATTATTGAACTCATCGATAAATATTATGAACTTCCAACAATTAAACATCGATTAGACAACGAAGAAGAGATTATTATTATACTTTGGTCCCTCCATAAAGTGATAATTCATAAAGTCGATCAGCTGTATACTTTTACGGGCCCCATAGTTTTATCTTTGGCACAATTACTAAGGAACACACACGATAAATTTAAACAGTGATTGGTTCTCTTGACCCTCGCACTAAATTTTTGTGCAATCAATTTGAGCTTGATTTTTCATGAATACGAATACTGAAGATTGTCGCGTATACAATTGCATTTTTATAATGTTTTATTTTTTAATCGAAGAATAAAATAAATATAATTAAAAATATAAAAGGAAGGAGCCAGCGGTATTTTCAAGTGTCGTGTTCTTCGGAAATTTGCCGATGATCCTTCATCTTTTATCAATCATAAACAGTAGCGAGAGTAGATTTTTCTCTCTCGATTAAGAACATATGTGTCAGGAGACAATTAGTACAGGAAGGAAGAATATTGCAACAGGAAATCGTTTTTTTTTCCGCAACTTATTGTTTTAATCTACGAGGCAGTTGATTTTCCATTTTCGTACGATGCTTTCATATGACTATCCATCTCTGCAGGGATATTCAAATTGGTCGCGCGAGTTGTTGGACTTGAGGGTCGAGAACACTCTGATTTCTGAATAAAGTTTGTACTTGTATCTAGTTGGGCAGATTCGGAACTGGATTCTTTTCTAGAAGAAGACATACCATATGTGGCACTCGATGTCCTAGTGTTTGTTGGTGACGAAGACGATGAGGATATGGATCGGGTGATTTTCAGCTCCGAGTCGGCAGGACTAACGTTACCCTGCGTATCATTTTCTTCGAAGAGCTTTTTTAAATTGTTGCCGAGCTTTGCGTCATCAGAATTTACATTCGATTCCGCCATAATGGTTAAGGTTAATGATTCTGATGTTTTCTTGCCTCGAGCAGTGTTTCCCAGTTCACTTAATGGAATTCCGAATTCACGAGTGGCCCATACATCGCAGCTAGGGCTACACGATGAGCCACGAGGGAGTTGAGAGACCTTAGTTTTTCTCGCGTCTTCCATGGAATGCCATCGGTGAGATCTCGAGATCGAGGATCCTGGGGCAATCGTATTTAAACTGTTTGTCGGCACTATCCGATGTGGAAATCGCGGAGATCCCCGAATTTTTTCTCGTGACGATGTTTGGCTGGTACTCGCTTCTAGAAGAAGAGCGGTTCAAAATACGTACGTTACAATAGATTTACATATATTTCATTGCGATTCGTTGATATCTCGTACTCGCTGTATTTGGAACGAAACGATATAAGTACTCGATAAAATAATTCACCATAAAGAAATAGTTTGGGCGTACTTACTGGGTGGTAGACTAAAATTGACTCTGGGCTCGCTGTACTCTTTACGATGTAGCCCCAGGCTTAATCTGCGATCTTCTTCGCTAGTAATACTAATTATTGGTCCTGAGCCACATCGAGGATGAGGCGAACGACTGCCTTGGGCATTAACTTGACACGTAGATGCTGCTTTCGTGCCTGGTACCAAACCGGCAATGTAGCCCATGTGAACCCGTAGTGCCGATGCTACTCCTATGAGATTTTGACATGATTAACCGTTTCCACTATTACGCTATATATTACACTATATTCCATTATTAGTTTTTAACTTTTTTTATACAATTTACCAGTAAACGAGGCAGTCGAAGTTTTCCTGCTGGTAGGACGACTGCCGAAAAGACTGAAGAGTCGCTGAAAAACACCCAAACGATTTGGTCCTTCCGTCTCTCTTCGTCGGTGAAGTTTGTAAATATCTGCAAGACTTCTTCGTGTGCCGTCCGGTTCCAAATCCGGTTGGCTGCTAAACGCTACAGTACCGCGGCGTATTCCTAATTTACAGAAAAATCAAGTCTATACGTGCCCAATCGCCAATCGTGTTGCATTAATAATAGATATTAATATTTACTGACATTCGAGCCAATAAGGCGAATTGAAGCACACAGTACGAAAGCGGAAGCAGGTGCTAAGATATCGTAGAAGAGGAAGGAGGAGAACCGCTCGCGTTTTTCGTGAGAACGCAATGTTCCCGAATTCTCTAAATAAGATCTTCGTGTTTACATGTGTGTAATAGATTGTCTTTCAATATCGAATGTCATCACGGGGTAATATTATTTACGAATTAAACAAAAGCATAAACGGGGATCCTGCTTTAAGTATTTGCAGATTCATTCGGTTGACCGTCAAATTTTATCATCGATTCTATTCGATTGGATGTCATTGCATTCCGAAACATTGGATCAAACGTGCAATTTAGCGTGCAGAATGGGGCGTATGCACGTACATACACCTGTCAGAGACTTGTCCAAACTTGTCAAGCGGTTTGGGACTTAGAGCTCGGGGAAATACGAGTGCAGTCTGGTATCTCGAATGGCAATTAATATGTCAGAAATGTATGAATTATGTCCTCAGGCTAGTAATACAGACCAATGCAATAACAGGCTGACAATCAAGCTGGTTGGTTTTGTATTAACTGTTTCATGTGCAGTTTTAAGTAGCAGCTAATTTTATTTAATAGCTGTATCAAATCGACAGAGTAACAAAACTTTAAATTACCGCAGCATGATGAACGTTGCACGCTATTAACAAACGCGCAAGAAACATTGTTCGGCAATACAGTTTTCATGCAGTTTTCCTCGAAAAATAACATAACCGTCTTTAAACATTAGGCAAGTCAGCAAATTGGGGAATGTTTTCTTGTATCGCAATACGAATCGGAACACTTTTGATACATTTGATTTCCCTATTCTAATTTCCTCTTTCAACTTTCAACAAGTTTTTTAAATACTGATACAAGCACGTAAACGTCAGAAACGTTCAGATAACTGCGTGCAATAAACGGAATTCGGTCACCTTTCTCGAACATCTGAATGATGGAAGGACGACGAAACGAGAAGAACATTAATTATGTATCGTTCCTTCTTTCTCTCCTTGATAAAACAGTTTATTCATTGTGCAAATTTAAACAGGGACGATTTCGTTTGGTGAAGGGTAACGAATCGTGAAACGATCTTCGATTATATATTCGTCACGAATTTATTTGCACAACGAATCTTGCATCATGTGGAGAAGAATCTTACTCACCGGACGAATCAGCGGACGGCCAGCTAGCCCTAGGGATGACCGGTGGGAGGACGCTGAGCAATAACAAAGGTAGACCACCCCCGATGCTGGGATTGCGTTGTGGAATCGATGCGCTCGACGAAGCGTGCGATGGTTCAACCGGTTCCTGTGCCAATTGTTTCTCCAATCTGGCCAATTCCAGTTCCAGCTGTGCCATTTCACGACGATACACGCGATTCTGTACTTCCACGCGGTATTGAAGTTCGCTGTTGCACCATGAAATATAATTTTTGTTAAATTCGTTAAAAAGCAGTTGCATACCATAGTGTCGTAACTAGGCTTGCGAATATCACATACTAATTCGCGTACTATTTTCAATAGATCGATAACATCCAACGAATTTTTATCGGGAATTTTAAACGTTGATGGTAATGCGATCTCGTCCTCTTCTCTAACTCGATATCGAATAAATTCTCAATGGAAAATTCAATAAACTTTTTTTAGCAGGCACCGTTCGAAAGAAAATTCAGTGAAAGTCGGTAGTTGAATAAAATATGATGAACGATGTCTGTGACCTGGTTTAAAACGAATCGTACCTTGGTACCGTTAGGAATAACGCGAAGAGTTCAGCCACCGAGCACCGATAAAAAGATATCGTCTCGAGTTAGATCCGTCCAAACGATTAGTTACCAAGCGAAAGAAACCTTTATTGTCACCGTATCCAGCGCCATTGTGCTTACCCTCTTTCTTCGCTCTTGTTTTCTTCTGATTTTCCATTTGCTTTCGACCCCCTTTTTCTTATCTGCGAAGTAGTCATTGGCGCGACGCGGCGTATCGCGACAACAGTAGCTGTTACTTACGTTCTATCATCGGTCACGAATCTCCTTGTATTGCATTCGATCTTCAGGCCGAGACTCTGTACAACAGGGTCGGCCCTTTCGCCAGCCAAGATGTTTGTTAATTGCGGGAGAAACAGCAACGCCAGCGTTGCGGTCGTTGAAGCCAAGATTAAAGCGGTAATCGTAACGAAGGCCAAGGTTGCGCGATCGGACATCAAATTTGCCAGCACTACCACAATCCCCGAAGTGATCACCACGAAATAAACACTCATGCCGATGTATTGCGAGTCGTTTAAAGCAGGTATTTTCACGTGTCTGGAATTATGCATGATATAGAAAAGTACAAAGTAAGAAATAATTAACATAGATGTATAAGTATAAATAAAGAATTAAATTGTTGATCAAAATTACATTAACTCTACAATGAATAAATCGATACTTCCATTACTATATTCTCGACTTGGCCTTGGAACGTTTTAATATCAACAGCTCAATGCTAAAACTCCGACAAAAAGAGGAAACATCTTTGCTAATGAACGCACTAATGGCATCCCTCATTAAACTCCAGTTCGACTCTGCTTCTCCAATTGGAAGTTCCATGTGGACAGATTTCCCCGAGCGATTGTTTTAATGAATTCTTACTTACAAAAACTATTCCGTATATAAAATTTGCAGGTTAACTCAATATTTTTACCTCGTTTCCCAAGCCATGTATACACCGACGATTAGCAATAGACCTTTATATATGTAAAGTGCGCCCAACCAGCTGTTCGTGTGTTGAGAACGGCACACCTCTACCTGTATCGAAAACCAACGATGTAAATTAATTGATTATCGCTGGTTAAAGGGAACGTCATCCATATCTTAATGAGCCTCTCTACCAAAGTTGCAAAGGTAAGGGTGAAATTGTTTTCGACGTCGTTTCGATTTCGATACCTGAGGTTGATAGACTACGCTTCTATCCTGTGGGCTAATTTCCAGAGTTAGGTTTCGGAGATGACGTTGCATGGGGTCAAAAGTTACCCACAAGGTTACCACGAGGCCGTCTATCAGTAGCAGAACGCAGATCAAGCTTATAAGCTGAGTATCCTGAAGTAACTGTAGGTAGTAGAATTATACTGCGCGTTAAATGTCAACCGTACTTTCAATCATATCGTACCTTGTTCTTGACAACGCCGCTTCTGCTTCTAGTGAAAATCCGATGAACGCGATAGGTCTTGGTAAACATCGATCCGAATGCCAAGGAAAAGCCAGCAGACAACAAATATACTCTTGCCTGAAAAACCGTGTGACATATCGTACGAAATACAAAGTGTAACGTTGCATGGAAATAGTTCGATCTGTATATATAGATATACGCGATGCAACATAATTTCACCTACCAAACTAACGACTGTTCGCAAATAGAAAATTAATGCTCACTGTGCACACTGTAGGATAGTAGTCGTTGCTATCCGGTAGCGTGGCGTGATCCAAGCCCAGAAGTATGACCGCACCGTAGACTAAACCACAGCCGACGGCAGCCATATTATTCAGTCTAGGACTCGAGAGTTTTATGCTCCTGCCAGTCATAAGAAACGGAACACTTTACATTTTCTATACGATCAATGCGAAACGATGGAAACATCGTAAAACTTACTTGTGTTTACGAAAATGTAAATTGAACGCCAAGAAAGCGAACGCTAAAGTGACACCAACGCTAGCGAGACAAGTAACTGCTAGAAAAGCTGCAGGTGCTACTGTTACCACTCTCAACCTGGTCGTAAGAAAAATAAGCCATTTGTTATTATTAGAATGTTCTCGAATAGTAATAGACTCATAACGAGGACTGTAGCGAATCTCACGAATAACGAGAATAACCGCGAATGCTAAGTTTTTTAACTTCATAATCCTTTAAGGCTTGGTGTCTTTCGAAAGTAGACCACGTCGTATTTCACGATATTTCCCAAAACATATGATTTATGAAACATTTCCGTCGGGGAACGATAATCAAATTTTACTAACCCGACGAGAAAGCGTGAATCCGAATATATAGTTATCCTTCATGTCGTATACTTATACGTTGTATCGTAAGTTGTAATCCCATTTGGCAAGGAAGATCTTTACAGCTATTTTATGTGAATTGCTTATGTGATTGAATTTTACATGCAACCGTCCTTAACGCGATTGAATTCTCGGTTGCTGAACCTGTCGATTTCACGTTTATCGCACAAATAATAGCTTATTAGCATACAGAAACGATAACATGGATTGTAAATAATTATATGGCTAGAAATGGCATATTTGACATCGTTGCTCTCATTTATCAACAGCGATTTGAAATGTATCCATTAGCGTTCAATGATTTATTTATCATTATCTGTATAATTAAATACGTAAGGAGAAGGTATGGTTTGATTATTGTACGTCTGATTGTATATGTAATTTTCAATTAACGATGCGTCGATATTCGAATTCGCGGTAGATGTTCAACTAGTGGGTAACTGAAAGACAAAACACTAATTGATATATGTAATTGCTCGGATCTTTTGTGGTAGTCAGATTTCAATGTTCGCAGAGAACGAGCGAATGATCAAACCAGATAGAACGGTACATACCGGAAAACCCTTCGAGCCACGGGGGGACGTCCATCCGGCCATTTTGTCATTGCGCATCCTGAGCAATTCATTATTAGCTTTCCATCTTCTGGACTGAAGATCGCTATTCTTCTGAAATCGTTGCCTGTAAATGGAAAACTATAAGAGATCTCCTGCTTTAGTATAAACGAGTGACTCTCGACGAATTGAATAATCGGTCAAGAAGTAACCGGATAGGATAAATCGAAACAAGATTTTAATTCCCATGTTCCCCCACTTCGTTTTGTATGCGTTTCCTTTCGAGCAAACAAATTAAATTGCTTGGGATTTTAATCTAAGAAGAAACGCGGCTTCTAATTATTTCGACTTCGCGTTTCTACCTAAATATTTGTTTCGTGTCACAGATTTGACGAATCCAGAGCTTACGACATAAGGATAACAAGTTTTGTGACGTACAAGGAATTGAATTATCGAGAAGAAGGCCCGATAAAGTTGGAAGTTTAATTTCTATCCTTTATTCCTCTCACATCTATCCGGAAACCCATCCGTCCTCCTACAAAATACCCTTTTCCAGCCGTGATTCACTTGTGCGACACGGCCGATAAAGTCGAAAATACACCGAGTTCTAAAGACCTCGAGTATACCGAGACTATAGAATTCCTATTTGTATTGGTATAAGCATGACTAAACGAGGGGCTTCCCAAGGATTAGGACTGAGTTTACTTTTTCGGACATGTTACGGAACAACGCTTCAAAATAGATTCGATTTTATTTCCGAAATCGGATTTTAGCTTGTCTTGCGTAAACTCTCTGGGAAGTGCAGACAGCAGATATGGCTGATCGCTCGGATTAGAAATGTTCTATCAAGCTGTTGTCTTCGTACATTTTACAGGCCGGACGCTATTGGGATTTTTTTCTCATCAGCTTAATGACAGTAGCCAGATACACAAAATAATACTTATTTTGTTCCATTTTCGGTTTCCGCATACCAAAGCACTGTTATTTTCGAGGACTGCAGATAAAGACAGTCTGCCAATCGTTTTTTAAGCAGCGCATTCACGGATACTGCCTATGTGTATCTGTTTCGTGAAGTTTAAGCGTACATGCTCGATGCTTTTTCACCTTGACAGGTATTCGAGTTTCTTCTGCACATTAAATTACTTACCTCCTAAATTGCACGTAAACTCGTACTACATAGTTTTTCACGCGCCGAATTTGCAAATTCGTCCTCGCAGCTTCTTAGGAACTTATCTTATAATAATATAGTGGTTGCCGTAATATAACAAAGTCACATAATCGGTCTGACATCGAAGTTTACATATTCGTAGCATAGCTGCGATATTGCTATTTTAGCTGATCAAACATTTTCAATTTCATTGGTTATAATTCTAGGAGATAATGAAGAAGAAAAAATTGTACAGTTTTGACAGTATATCATCGGTTAAAATAGAATATTCGCCTAATTATCATATTATTTGGCTTTAAACAAGACAGATGGATCTAATCCCGATTAACGTCTAAAGTTAGAAAACATTGCCTTCGGCTGTTGCGGTGCGCAAAAAGAAGAAGCAAATAACAGACGACCGATCCTTTTTTTCTATTCCCTGTCTTCGTGATTATGCTTGGAAGTTAAATATGCGGTCCGCGCCGATGTGACTATACCCGCTACAGGATTTGATGGATTACAGCCGTAGGATCTCGAGTGTCGACTGGTTGGATGAATGAAACACTGTGGGAGAGGTAAACTGGAATAAAAAAAAAATGTACAGAATAATGGTAACAGAAATCGTGGAGGCAAAGGAGGAAGCAGTTGATGGTATCCAACTTGTCCGAACTAGCGAAGCTTCTTTGTAAACGCCGCTACCTATCGCTGACGGAAATTCGTGCCAGTTCGTTGACTTTATCAGAAATCGATGCTTGAAGCGTGGTTCAGAAAAAGGAGCTTCTTCTTCGAAGTTCGGGCAAGGTTAGCGAGCAGACAACTAGCCGTTGTATCGTAAATAATCGTTCAACTATATGAACTGCGTAAAAGAGTTTGGAAAATCAGTCGATTCTGGTAAATCCCTGGATCTCTGGAAATCCGTACAGGGAATTTGCCAACTTTTGCTTCTTTTAGAAACGTCTTACCGAAAGACATAAATTCTTTCATTGTCAGCATCCGAGATTAACCGATTTCGTACAGTACGTATACAGTTCCCAGCGGAAAGATCATGAGAAATTTTGTAAATTCAAGGTACCAAAATAGGTAACGCGAATCAACTTTTACGAAGATGTTTGATATACATATATCATGAAGGAGGGCGGAGAAATAGCACAATTCGGAGATTTTTAGTCTTATCGCTGGATACACCTATAAGTAAAGTAAAAAGTAGAAAAGTAGATAGGAGATAGAAAGGAGGATAGAGAGGATAGTAGGAAAGAGGGAGAAACGTTTCTTATCAGGGCTTTTAAAAGATTGTTCAACCGTCTTCCAACGAGATATTTGTAAAACAAGAGGTAGAAGAACGAAAGAGTGAGAGAGAGAGAGAGAGAGAGAGAGAGAGAGAAAAGAGAGAGAGAGGCGGAAGAGAAGAAAGAGCGAAGAAGTAATGAATCTTGGTCTCAGTTTCACGGCGCTTATAAAGGTGTAGACAATTTGTAGCAGATTGATTTTCGATCACGTTAAAAAAGCGATATTCCATTAATGCGTAAAATACGTGGAATAACTCTGGAAAAAGTCCAATTAAATACCGTCCGTTAGTCATCAATTGAACGAATTGAAATTGAAACGGGAGAAGTGATTCTGATGTAAGAACGCGAGTGTCGTTAACACGAACGGCGCATCGAGGTCATACGGATCGAAAGAAGGCTTAATTTCACAAAGACCTGCACGTCCGTACGTTCGCGAGGATGGCGTTTCGAGGCCACTCAAACAGTGCGCTTGCGTCGTTATTCGGAAGAATTCAGTCCGTGATTCTTGAAATGTATGGAGGGAGACCGACTTCCGACAATTTACACGAGTGACATTTGTCGAGATAAAATTTGCTGGAAAAAGTTTAACACGATATATTTATTGGTCGTGTTTGGTGTTGCGGAGACGCGAAGTTACCTCTTGGTCGGAATGACGATTAATACGAATTCGAAGTAATACATTCCGGCCTTTCTTGTTTTCTATCTCTGGTTTTTCTCCTTTCTCACGCACGCTCCCTTTCGCTGCCGATTCCTGAGGGTCCTCTCTCATTAATTATTCATCGGCTTCTTACCGACATCCGGCGGATAGAATGGCAAACATCCTTGCTCGTGTTCGCACGAAGCTCACGCCGATCTCGTTTCGTGCTTTAGATCGTGGATCCGAGTAGCCGCAGTCTTTGCCGTGTCGGCCACGCGTAAAGCTCCATGCGCGTGACACTGAGATGTCCTTATGGCTCTTTCAAATTTAGTTCCCACGCTAGCTTTTTCCAAATTCTTCTACGCGCAACCTTCTTGGCTATTACGAAATCCCAATCGATTATCGCTCGATACGTCATTTTATGTGTATGACACATTGATATTTTTTCACGCAAGCAATTTTTTATTTTTATACTTCAAATAACACGCGAACAGGTCATCACGCACGTGAATTCTCCGTAAATATAATCGACAGATTCGTGTGTTGTGTGAACGTTCATTTGATAAGAAATTGACGTAAACAGGAGCAGCGAGAAACAGTGTATCGCAATGCCTAACAATTCGGGCGATCGTACGTAACGCGTTTAACGGAGGAATGCATTAGGACGAAACCGCTATCGTACCAACTGAAATCATATCGCTGACGGAACATTCAACAATGGGAAGTGTCAGTTAACTGAGATGCGAGAACGCACGCGGTATACTGCGCCGTTAGGCGCGCACAATTGTCAGCAATTTCCATCCCTGTTTCCTGATTTGCCCTATTACACGTCCGTCTTTATTCGTGTACCATTACATTCGATATAATTACGAGTAAATCGTACTTTTATGGTATAAAGTTTACTCACCGTATATCTGAGAGAACGCTGTGATACCCACTCGATCAGCTCCATCGAACGATACCGGTCCCTAGAACGAACGATGACTAAACTATTCGTTTCGATTGACATGGAAAACCTCTATTAACAATTTCGTCCGCCGATAAGTTCATTATCACGATAGTCATCGTGTTTTTTTAATAAATACGTTTCTTCTTCTCCTCGATACGCGTCGTTCATGAAAATTCCCAAAGATATCGTTCTATCGTTTTTGTGAATTATCGATGCGAAAGTTTGAATGCTGGATTTTGGATGATGAAAGCAGAATGCTAGATGATTTTAGTTTCACGAATGTACGCGTATAATCATTTGCACACAGGCCGAATCAAATGCTTAAATACTTGAAGAATAGATGATTTCATGAATTCTCATGCATTCTTTTTTTATCGGTCGAGTAGTATTTCATACTCACCGAAACTCCGTTAAAACGTAAAAGTTTCAGTTGTTCCAATAGTCGCAACGCAATGTCCTTTCTAGCATGCGTATATTGGACTACGCTAATGTTGTCCTTATTTAAGATGTTTTCGGTCTTTTCCAAAGCAAGTGCCATAGCCCAGACGGCGTCGTAGGTCTGTCCTTCGAACTTCGAGTCTGTCGCGCTTCTTTTTCTCAATTCCAACGTGAAATTGTTACTCGTCTGTGCAGAAAATACCGTTGCTGTATTACGGCTAATCGGGTAATATAATTCGAGTTAATGCGCATATTTAAAACGGAACTACCATTCTTATCTATTTTTATCGAGTGTACTAATAGTTAAAACGAAGCTCGCGTAATCCTTTGAAAATATACGGTAGCTTTTTGTTGTAGTGACTCCAGCTTGATCAGCCTTTACGGCGAAGGTTATACAAAAAGAAAAGTTGTAGTTTCAGTATTCCATAATAGCGTCTTTAAAAACAAATTTCTTTCTTATTAACTTATTTGGGCACACTGCGCCATGGAAGTAAGGAAATTGCCGTAAGGGGTAACATTTTCGAATATTATTCTCGAGACAATGAATAGCTCTTTTTCTAAAATAACGAGAGTACTTTGGTCGATTTTACAGTTTCAGTGAAAAATCAATTCTCTTTCATCCGATAGCGTAAAAACGCGTCTTTCACGCAGATAGTAAATATTAACGAATTAATCGGTACAGTTCGATGTAACCAAAAACAGGAGAATCGAGTAGTCGCTAGTATTTGTCGTAGAGATCAAAATTCGTTATGTTAATATAACGTTGAGTGCAGATTCGAAATGCCGATATAGCAAAACAAATGTATTACTAATTTCATTTTCCGTTCTTGAACGTTACGGACGAGTTTGAGAGAAATTCTATTTCCCTCGTTTATCATATTTTTAGCTAAATCGATTAAACGTGCATGTTCCGGTGGGAAACAAATGGATCACGAAAATTATTTACGCGAATTTCGGTTCAACAGAGAAATGTAATATATATGTATGTGGCTTCTCAAAGTCAGAATTCAGATCTTTGTGGCAAAGGTTGTCTCTTGTACGATAAAACATTCTGTTCTATTCTCGTATTGTTTCGTTCCTCAGAATATGCAAATCGGACAACCGACATACGTTGCAACGCGTCTTCGTTTTTGACTCTGATATCGTGAAAACTCACGGGATGGTGAATTTCTAGTTTTCCACGTGGGCGCGTAAATATTCAATATAGTTGAATGCACTCGGAATTATTCATGATGCTGTTTGAAAAAGTATAAAGCAAACCGTTTCGTAACAACTGCGAGTCACCGAGGGTTGGATCTGGATGAGTTTCGGCGGTGTGACAGTACCGGAGAAGAGTTAGGTATGTCGAAGAAACGTAACCAATTCCGGAGCACGTTCCGTTCGAATTTCGTCGGGATCAGGTTCTTCCCTCGTGAAATGTAATTAGCAACATGTGAGTTCGTCATTAGCTCGATTGCTCGAACGTGGAAAGTTCGATACGAGGAAGCTGCTGGCCATTATCACGCTCTTTCAACCATACCATTTCATCGACGTCTCTCTCTAATGGACGCGAAAACAGGTCTGCGTGTGTTATACAGCTATGCCAGCTATAACGAGCATGTACATGCCAAGACTACACGCTACTCCGTTAACGCTTTTAATTCTCGACAACGACGTTGCGTATATTATTAAGTATTTCGTCAAACATCGACCGAGACTTAATTAATGGAAGAAACTTTGGTTCAGTGGCGGTTCGAGTAATTGCTGCAATCTATAGAAAATATCGAGACACTACAAAAGATTTCCTACTGCAGAAGGGCTATTCTAGTCGAAGGATTTTCGAGAAATGCTCCGTTTTCCAGTTTAGTATGGAACTTTTCTGACAAATGTGTCGGTAACTGGAAAAGTACTTACCAGACCCGACGAACTTATTTCGTTTTCTAAGGCAGCGCCATGACTCTCGACGATGATTAAACCATTCTGAGTTTGAGACAGCTGAGAGGGGGTACATTCTTCTGGTTCCGAGTGCAACGAATTAGCCATCCTCTTCGACAAGTCGATCGTATCACCTGGCAGAATCCATGCGTAGTCTCCTCCGTGCATACCCAACTTCCAAGCCTGGCAGAACAAGTAAAGAAAAAGTAAAAAAGATAGAGTGGTTAATAGGGGAAGTGACTAACGGAGTTACGGAATATTTAGCGAAAATGTTCATCTGGCTGCTGAGAGCCGCTGGTTTACGGAGCTAGATAAGACGAGCTTTAGACCTGGCTCTTAGTGGACGTTTCGTGCTCTTATGTTTCCTCGAATATATGGGTTACTTGGATAACTCTTTTATTTTTAAAAAGGAGGGGATGAACTCGTTACGGAGCGAGACGTTTTACAGTTCTGCAGTTTTACACAATTCTCTCTCGTGTCGTATGTACCTCGAAATTAACGCGGCGTCACATTCTCCGCACAATGCGATACATTCGATTTCGAGGATCGACCATCAAATGCACTCTCGTCAAGGAAAAGAAAGTGATTGTAGAGAATTTCCGAGAATGCAAATCGCATCCAGAGGATCGAACAGACGTGTTGACCTACTATGAATATTTACTATGATCTCATCAGACGACGGACAATCAGAGTAATGAGAAATGACTCCAAGATGGGGATCGTTCTCAGACCCTTCGAGATGTCTTTATAAAATATACCCCATTTTTCGCATTGTCCATTCCCTTTTCTTCCCACTCTACCTTCGTTTATTTATTCTCGCATGCCGATTTATTTCATCTAACGCGTAACATATTTTTGGCTATATATATATATATATACTACTAATAGAATGTATTTTAGTAACGTCATTTGTCAGTTAGGATGATATGAAACGGACATCGTTACGGTATTTTGTCTTGAATGATGTATCGTCCCTTTGACGTTACACAGTTTTTATACGCTACTAGTTAAAACTTTTAACTAGTCCCCATAATCAATTTCCCTTCCGTTTTCAAACAGCAAATTTCCTACTCAATCAGCGAGTTTCACGTGACCGAAAGATGTCATTGCGTTGACTCGAAAGAGACGGCTGGATATGCATTCGTATGCAGCGTTCTTATCCTTTCCGGCGTGGCTCGACTCTTCTAAAGCTTTTAAGTCCGGAAGAAGAGATCGCCGGCCGGTTATCGGGAAATCATCGTCGGTCGTATTTACGCCTCATTGTCTTTCGTCGCTTTGCACAGAGACAAAGTTAAAAAACTGGGACACGTTTGAATGGCGCGCCCTAGTCGTCCAAAGATGCAGGCTGTTCTGTGAATTCGCAACTGTTGTCATGCTGAGGCATCCGGTGAAAATGAGAAATGTGCCTGGAATACGTAGACATAATATTGTTCTCAGTAGCAAAGAAAGGGCGAGCGAAGTATTTACCGCTCGAACACGCGATTTCACGTAAATCAGGACTTAATGTTTCTTCTCGCTTAGAACTATCACCGACTTTAAAACCGATAATACAGAGATATAAATTGTACCTCTACGCCCTATGTGGATGTATTGAAACGAATGCCACGAGCTATTTACAGTTCGAATTATAAAAGGCGAAGATCTCGGATTATTTTCAGCTGCTTTCGACAAAAATTCGTAATTATTTTTTAAGAAATTAGTTCGTAATTAGAGAACAGCCGATTGGTTTAGCGATAAATTTTGTTCAGACGCGTCACGAAACAAAGGATGCATCCGCTGTTTATAAACGACACCGTCCGAGGCTACGAGATTCCGTGTAGGCGTTATCTGTATTTTCGGTTGATTTATAGGAGAAACGTTTCCGCGTTCCATGTTTCGTTGTACGCGCAAAGAAAAGGAAAAACCTTGCCTCTGAATACATATCGACGTAATAAACGGCCGATCCTGACCTGTGAATATTAAACATCGGAAAAGTAACGAACTACACAATCGTTTGAATGGAGAAGATGTGGATATCGTCGATCTAGCGCTTGCGAACATCTACGCACGCGTTATTGCCTGCCGGCCGTAGTTACTTTCTGATTGGCAATAATATAGTCGGTCAAGATGTCAGAGGCGCGCTCCGATGAAAAATCGTTTTCACAAGAAGCACGATTGCTCAGCTGCTTTGGTAAATTTAATCTTTTTCCTCTAATAAACTCCTATGTATCTTTCGGGTATGCGAAACAAAGGAAAAAGATCGAAAGCAACTGTAAATCAGAAATTTACATTTTTATGTAAATATTTCCCGCGGCTATTTCCATACTACTTCTGACGTTCGAGGAAAATAAAAAAGTCCTATATAAGATATACCTACGCGCGATTCGATAGGACGTTTTCAGTTTGGAGGATTTAAGAGATACAATTTAAACGATACCGAATCAAAAGAGAATGCGAATTAATTGGAATCTTAGAGATAGATAGTAATCAGGAGAACACCGTTTCCTATACTCCACCAACGTAACTTCATTTTGACATGTAGGCGAGACACAGGCGAAGATTAGAGGCGCAGAAACCTGATGTTTACACTTCCGACGTTGGAAGCACGAAGATCACCCAAATCCTCATCCTTTCTGTTCCGTGATTAATTTTGCAGTGATAGTTTCACGAGTCACCTCAATCAAGTGAATACGTCATGTAAATGCAATTTTATACTATTTTCTTTAAAGATTATCTCCTATATTGTCGAGAATATCGATTACTTTGAGTTAAGTCGGCGACTTGCGATCGAATTTACATGGTTATCGGTATGAAGACCGATTAGACAATAAAAAGTTATCTGATAAACAAGCTGACGAGCAGTTCTTGGAAAGTACTGGTCTTGAAACACAAAGCCATTGACATGATAATAGTGATGAGGGAAAGAGAGAAGGACAACGAGAGAGAGAGAGAGAGAGAGAGAGAGAGAGAGAGAGAGAGAGAGAGAGAGAGAGAGAGAGAGAGAGAGAGAGAGAGAGAGAGAGAGAGAGAGAGAGAGAGAGAGAGAGAGAGAGAGAGAGAGAGAGAGAGAGAGAGAGAGAGAGAGAGAGAGAGAGAGAGAGAGAGAGAGAGAGAGAGAGAGAGAGAGAGAGAGAGAGAGAGAGAGAGAGAGAGAGAGAGAGAGAGAGAGAGAGAGAGAGAGAGAGAGAGAGAGAGAGAGAGAGAGAGAGAGAGAGAGAGAGAGAGAGAGAGAGAGAGAGAGAGAGAGAGAGAGAGAGAGAGAGAGAGAGAGAGAGAGAGAGAGAGAGAGAGAGAGAGAGAGAGAGAGAGAGAGAGAGAGAGAGAGAGAGAGAGAGAGAGAGAGAGAGAGAGAGAGAGAGAGAGAGAGAGAGAGAGAGAGAGAGAGAGAGAGAGAGAGAGAGAGAGAGAGAGAGAGAGAGAGAGAGAGAGAGAGAGAGAGAGAGAGAGAGAGAGAGTCCTACTTCAACACAATGTTCATTATTCGCGTAGCAGGGACACAGGCTATGACCATGTGTTTGCATTTCATCGATTTTCGCCTGAAAATCGAGGCGTAAAGTCCTCCGCGATAGACAAATTTCAATTTATCGTGTAGAATAGAATTGAGTTCGTGAAGTTTGTGTATGTCGTGGAACCTTTCGTGTACGTTGAAATTCGAAAATAATCTTTCTCGCGTATTATAATGTCACGGTGGTAACACCAAAAAGAGTAATTCTCACAGAGATAGCGATTTTATGAGCGTCTGTAAAAATTCGTAATTGAACTGTCGTCGATGTGCGTTTGAACGCTCGTAAATTCGCGACACATTTAGCGTGTAACGCGAAGCGTTTTATTTCCGCGTATTTTGAAGAGAATTGTCGGTGTACTGGATTACCGGAGAGTGATAATAAAAAAAGGCGAATCTTGACGCAGCGTCTTGATAAGTTCTACGTTCGAAAGCAAAGCTAACTCAAGTCCATCTTTTTCATGATTGAGTTATGTATACCATCTTATTTTTCCTCGTCGCTTCCTTCCGTTCCTTTTTTTTTTGTTCCGCCTTCCTTTTATTTTAGATCCGTTTGTATATGTAAATAAGAGCAGTTTGTAAATGTATATCAATGATCTGCCATCTTGTAATTACGAAATTAATATACTTTTAAATAAGAAATCTATACGCACCATTGTTTTTCTGTTCTGATGTGACATAATGGGAAATGACGTGAATCAGTGTGGCTTTCAGATACAGAAATATTTTTCATTTTTAGCATAATCCTTCCACGAGTCATTTCCCTGCATGTGACATCTACGTATAATGACCTTTCGTGAAACGATAAGATTGCGAACGTGACGTTTCCGTCCTTGAACCGATTTTAATCGTCAAAATTTGAAATGATGAAGTACACGGTCTAGGGATCCATAATTCTTTTTTTAGTAATGTTCATTAAAAGACTAAAACTTCAAGTGAATTCCAGGTCAAATTTACATAAAGCTATCGCATATAATGGATACGGTGATTTTTGTTATTGCGTATTGTTTTGCAAAATCAACACGACGTAAAACTATCCGACGTTTCGGTACTTAAAACTTTTCATCCTAAAAGTAACTCGACTTTGGTCACCGTTATTTTTCCGCGCTAGAAGTCACGCAATTGCCAGAAACATATTCTACCATTATACAATAAAGGAGTTTGGCAACGAGGCGAAACGAACTTGCATCCATGAGTTTTAATTTCTGTGGAAGGTTTACCTCGCAGAAAACGCGTGGCGCCAGTTGTGGTGAAAAACTCCCGATGATGATTCGTGTGTCCAACTCCTGTAATCGAATAAAATTGCATTTCAACAAGGGGGATTATTCTCTTCCGCGCTCGTCTCAAGCACCGCATCTTTCATGCAACTTTATCGTATTAGGGCGGACAAGCAATTAGTTATGAAGTGTGATTAAAGACGGACGGAGCATCACGGTTAATCGAATTATTCGCCTTGCTCGACACGGCCTGATACGCTCTAATGTACGATAAACAGTTTTTCGGAGAATTTTGCCGTGCATTGTAGCGTCTGATATTAATTTTGAAACGGTCAACTGTTAAACGCTCACATTGAAATTCTACGCTTTTTAACAGATTTAAAATTGCTTGCATATGTCTCGTATTCTAAAAGGTAAAGTAAACGTGGAAAGATTTCTAACGCAAAGATAGAGCTACAATGATGGCGACTAAACGTAACTATACATCATAACTGTATACCACGTCGGGCAGCCACGAATCTCTAGCATATTCAGTGAAAAAAATTCAATGAGGCTTAAGTCTAGGCGTGCCTTACTTTTAAAGTTTGCAGCTGTTCCTTGTAATCGTTTTCTGCGAAGGTGATAGTAGCGGTGCACGTAATATTCGCTTGCTCCAGTTCCGTGACTAGATCGTTCACAGCCTGAAACGAAAAAGCGATACTGCAACGTCCTCGCAGCAAAGGAGGTAAATGTTAAAGTTGTACATTGCTTGTATCATTTAGTGACAATTGTAGTAGATTTTTCTTATTAAACTCGTATTTCATCATAAGTAAACCCTTTATTTTAACGTGCTTTGTCGAAGGGACTAAAGTTTAATAGCTAGTTTACACACTGTTCGTCACATGGGAATTTTGAGTGGCGCAATGGCAATCTATTAAACTAAACACATAGGTACTCGAGAAGCTGGAACGGCGTGTATCTTTGATTAAACTTCCTTGTTGAATGCTACATCGACTCATGTGCTTACCAGAGAATACATGTCACCAGTTTGCGAGAGAGCGGTAACAGTGTCCCACCCAAAATGTTTGATGAGTGCTATCCTGGCAGAGTTGTGACTTGAATCCGGCGCTACGGTTCGTAGGAAAAGCGGAAATTCGGTGGAATCCGAGAGGGCAGGTGCGGTGGATCCAAAGGAGACTTGTATCACGTTCCAGTAAGGTACGATTTTGGCTAATGTTTCCGTGACCTCGGAGCAGGCAGTGCCCAGTAACAACGGTATTAGATCGTTCTTCTTTGCCGAGTAGAGAGCATGGAAGAATCTATCAACCGCCACACCGGAGTCGCACTAAAAACGTAAAAAAAGGGACATCAGTACGATATTACAACGTGCCTGTTATAAATTCAACGCGTTGTGTAATTCGTTTGATATTACGATATTTTGATAAACCGGTGCATTTATTCCGCCGCAACTATGGTATCGCAAAACAAATACGAAATTATGATTTATGAAAGGCGTCAACGACGTGACGTCGTGAAACAAACCCGTTTGTGAAATCGGTGGAGAAAGAAAGACGTGTTTCGCATAGAAAGTAAGCAATTATGAGGCGCCATGTAACGAGAGGCAAGAAAAAGAAGAAAAGGATCGCAAACACTTTGGCTAGATTGATGTACATGTGCGTGTATACGTCCGTAAGGAAGGTGAGGTGAGAGAAGACGGACCGGTGAGCCTTAACGAGCAATTATTCAACGCGAGAGGGTGACTAGGGCGGACTCGAAAGCTCGCATACAGTTGAAGAGTCTGCCTCATACCGTGCAATCCGGCGAGATACCGAGATGGAAGAAAATACAGAATTTTCGAGATGAGCTTCGATTCCGAATTCAACTTCTCGTACGTTGTTGTATTTTTATGCGATTTTGAATCGTTGCGGTACGTCTTAGACGGGTAAGGCGAGACGGTTTTCTTCGAGAAAATAGAAATTTGGTTAACAACTGTGGAGAAAAGTGGCATTCGCCTTGTTGCTACCGACGTATTTACATAAGGAACTTCTCGTGAGGCTTAACTTTATTATATTTAAGCCCCGGTACGAATTTAAGTTGTATTTGCTATTTGTAAATCTTTTGCGTTTAAATGAACGTGATACGTATAAACGTAGAAGTGCGGATTCTATTAAAATCGTGTATATTTCTTGTAAATACTGTTACAAAGAATGTTTCAAAGGAAGCAGACAAGGAGATTAAAATTACAGATTCCACGCCACCACGTTTCGAGGTGCAACTTTCCTCGAGGAATTTACAAAGGAGTTCAAACATCGTGGAACAGGTCACAAGCTCGTGTGCCTCTACCTTGATCCGATATACATATAAACGCTAGAACGCCGTGAAAGTTTCGCAATGAAAGGCCGACCGCGCAACGATGCGTTTAATAGGACTGAATTAAATGGTTCACATTTTTAACCTAAAATCGACTGTATTGATCGTTGATCGATATGATTGGAATCTCGGACATTCTCTTTTAATTTTCTTATTGCAATCAACGGGAACGTGACTAGACTTTTGCGGAATTCACGACCATAGGGAATTCATAGAATCATTTCTTCATATACGATCAACAAATTTCAAAAGTTCCTTAGCAATCTGTAAGGAAAGAATAACTCGATTAAAGCTAGCTATAATTTTACGCCGGACGAATTCCAACGTTATCACGTATTTTTATGTTTGATCACGTGACGCGGTTTTGTTTTAGACAATCATTGCATTTGGAATCCAAACGTTGATCTATGGAAATGGTGACGAAGAAAATTACGCCAGATCTCGATATCTTTTTATTAGAAAGTTTATCCGAATTTATGACGTGATCAAGATCATAGATCTGTACAAAGAATTCAAAGGATTTTGTCGATTGCTGAAACGCATTTAACATCCGTTGATCGGATGTCATACCTCTATACGAAACAAGCGACCTATTTCATCATTATACTGAAGGAGAAAATTTAATAACTGCAAAAAATGTGGCAGCAATGTATCGAGCAATATCCAGGGAGAAAAATGACGCGTGATTCGTTTTCACCGAATGTCTTCGCAAAAAAGAGAGTTTCGAGACAAAATTGTAAGTCGGCCAAATGAAAGAGTAAGCTCGAGGAATCTTCCATGACGCAGAGCTTATTTAACAAAGAACAGCTACTGCTATCTGTTTCCTGTCGGTGAAACGTTGACACAAAACAGATAGTATTGCTCGCTGAAGGGAAGAAACGCCAGCAATATCGAACGATGAAAAGTATGATACACCTACAAAGTTTCCTCGGCTGTCAAAGCATTGCTGCAAAGAAATTAGCATTACGTGCTTAAGAATTTTGCAACTTTAAGTATTATATATGGTATATGGGATTATACTATTTTAGACGACTTTATATAAGTTCCGTGTATAATCGGGAGAATTTGAACTCGGGTCATAATCGGACGTAACTATTTATGTCGAACTCTATTCCGTTAGTGGTTTCTGACAGACGACAACCGTGTATGCCTTAAAGCATCTGGTTGTAGAAAGTTTGTGAGAAACCTTGCTGCATTGTACCTTCGATAAACTATCATTATCAAATTAAGGGTGAAAGGAGCATCGAAGTGACGTTAAATGAAGATAGATTCTACAGCTTGTTCGACTTGTCGCGTGCAAACTTTAACAAAATATTTCTTTACACACCGGACTAATCTAAAAGCTGTCTCGTACACGAAGCGAAAATAAGGTCCGTTTTAACTCCGCTGCCGCGGCGATATATCAATTTAGAGTCGACGCGGTTGCAAGCACTCTGTTTTCTGAAAAGAGGAAAATTTTTAAGTTCCATGACAGCTCGAGCGCTCGGCCTGATCTGCCGCCTGTCTTTATTGAATTTTCAGAGATTTTGCCTCGCAGTGATACGGATTTACGATGCAGCATGTAAACGTTTTACAAGCTTTGACAGCGTAATCTTGAATGAACTAAGTTCATACTAAGGTTAACGTTTCTGTGTTCTAGCATACAACTTTGTTTCGCTGCAGCATTATATTACGGAGTGACACAACTTCGTGTCCACAAGCTTAAGTGATACTGCAACTCCAAATATCATGAAACTGTATCCTTCGGTACTCGCGTTTTCTCTCACTTTTTAAGCTTCTCGCGCTGGATTTGATTAAATTAATATTTTAAACGTTGCGTCGTCTTATGCAATTAATGGAAGGTATAAAGGGAGATGTCGTTAAGTTTTTATTAAATATTTATTCGGCGATAGCTTAGTGCAAAAAAGTGTCGTTTTTCATTTTCTAAAATATTATCTTAGCGGCGTATTTCATTATAAATTTACCGATATGCTTTTTTTCTAACAGGAAATCGAACACTTTACTCAATCAGTTTTCTGTCGATAATTCCTATACCAATTTCGAATGATCATTTCGCACGTCAAGAAAATATTATTTCACGTGCCGAATGATTTTATCACCTACATTTTATTTCAATAAAAATACGAGTTTTTGATATTTTCATAAAGCGTTCAATGCTGCAACTCCATTTTTTAATCGAGCATTTCATTAAACTCATTTGCCTTGTTTTGAAACTAAATTCTCGTTTGGAAACCGCTTTGGCTACGTTTTCGCTGAAAACTTTTAGGTACACTGCAATATCCATGTATATTAGATTTGCCCGACAAAAATTACCTATGGAATCTGTAAATTTTTATCGATATCTACTCGTGTGACGCGTTTGATTTAGCTCGATTAACTATCCGTGACGAGCCAATTACCGTGTACGTGGTTAATCATCGCGTATTCACGTAATTGCTGAATCGTTCCCGTTCATTGTTCGCTATTAGTCCTTCTCGAAAAATTGAACAACCAGTCGATGGTTAAAATTGGACGTTAGGCGAAGTTTTTCACCTAGACCATCGTGAAAAAATATCTACCTTTTATGATTACGCGATATACCATAAAATATCTTTCATTTGTCACTATCGTGGCTGATCGCACAATCAATAGACTGTATGAATAGGAAACGACGGCAGATAAAAGTATCGGATCTATCGCAATCTTAGCAATACGTTCGACGAGGAAAGGGAGTGGTGGAAGATGATGGAGTACAGGAATGACGGGTATATATGGTCTGTGAATTTTTTAGGAGCTGGCTCAATGAATATATCCACATCTATAGTGCTGATCTCTATTTTCGTGGCTATTTCTCAAACGTTGTTGTTCTTTTCTTCCGTGATTGTTCTGGTCCAATAACACTGCTACGCGAGTAGACGTAGGAAAATTTTCTTACAAGGGTCGAACAGAGGAATACATCCTACTCGTAAGGCGCCACTTTTATCACACTTTTGTTTAATCCTACCTTATTTATTATCATCGTAGTTTAGACGTGATATTACTTTCATGATACAGTTTTCCCCAACGTCGTTTTTTACCAACACGCATTATGCGAATATGTCCCACCATTGGGAAATTCAAATGTTTCGTATTCGAGATAAAGGTCTAATCGATGGTTATAATCGAGCTGTGTGATTATAAAGATGTGCAATGAAGAAACGACAAGCCCCGAAGATGAAGACGTTTCAAGCACTTCCAATAACGATCGAATTATTAGTTGACAAGTGGTTGTCCGATTATTGACTTTCCTCTTTCACTTGGACGTATAACGGCGATCCCCTCAAATTCACTGCAGGTTCTTCGAGATAGCTACCTTTATCGCCTCAAGTCACCCTTCTAACAACTGATCTTTTAATCGGACCCTATTTTTCCCTACATACATCTAGGTCTATGCCCTTTTGAAGAATAGAATTGAGGTGAGCGAAGCATGAAACGAAAATACGAATTCTATCGGACTTTCTCTTACGTCGATAAAGAGAAAAAAATCGGTCTTGGAGACGTTTCGTAAGACGATGCTTTTTGTTTGGAGCTTAATGGCGCTTAAGCTTGTTACGGTTAGTATATTGCTTCTTCATTAAGAGGCAGGAAGAACTTCAGGTATTAAGATTGTCCACGGCATAAATTTGAAAATTTATTCCAAATGAAACTTTTTATTTTCGACGAACTTGCGAGTATATATAATAGCCAGATCGATTCGAAGAGCAGTGAAAGAGAATACAAAACGAATTGAAAAAGGAGGAAAAGGGAAAGAGAAAAAGAATTAAGAATAAAAGTACAGATAGGTCAATCGAGATAATAGCGTTCCTTTAATTGTCTTATACTTCACCAATTGATGCAAAACCTGTATAGAAACGATTTTTTTTTTATTTTACGCCTTTTTAATTATAATCGATTTTCTTTAGTTTTTCCAATTGGTTGTGGGGCAATGTCGATAATTGTAGTTCGATATATGTGGTTTCGCTTCGGAATCGCGTATATGATCGATTTAACCTCCCAGTGTTTTCCTATTCATTTATATTTATGGCAGGCCGACCATGAGATATATAGTTGAAGATTATTTAATAAACTAGTACTAGAATACAAATAACTTAATGGATCGAACATATCCATAATTTACGTCCTCCAACACAGTTTCAAAAATCTTCGATGGTAGGTAGTACAGCTTTGGAAGAGAACATGCACAGTAGCCACATAAAGCTGTCCTATCTTTCAGGATATGAACTAGAATAAATGATAGAAGATAGGTTCTATCGAGGCGCACTCAATCAATATGCGTGTTTGTACTTTGAATAAATACAAAAGTGCTTTCGTTGAACACGCATTTGAGTCTACGCTACGTTAACTCGCTTTCCGAGATTTCAAAAAGCCTTTAGTTGGTTCGACAGCAAAAAAGTTGCTGTCGATAAATTTCAAAGTGGGGCCATAGGTTTTCAAAAGTCTCTACTTCGTTTTTGTATTTTCTTTTTTCACAGGTTAGTTCAACAATGCTGATAACGATATACGGAATTATAATTCGATAATTAATTCGAAATAGAAGAAGCGCGACTCGACCCCAAAATCTTGAAGAAGCTACGTATTATCTTATTTATTAACATAGTTATATAAATTTTATATGAACAGCCAATACTGTTTCCGGATAATTGTCATGAAATGAAGCTTTAGTTGGTTTTGGCGTTGTATTCGATGTCGGAACAAAAATCTTATTTTCTATCCTATGAAAGGACAACTCCTATTTTACGCGACACCGATGCTAGTTCGCGCCACGGAAAATCGGAAAACAGACGAGGACAAACTATCATTGTGTTACGACGTATACAAATTTTCATAAAACGCATACAAATTAGAATTTTCAAGGATCAACACGGGAATATTCCGTTGATAACCATTTGTTTAATGCAAATTAAAAAGGACAGAGTGAAAGAGAAGAACAGAAAGGAAACGCGGAGAATAGTATGCAGAAAAAATGTAGATCTTTTCGAATCCTTGATGAAGAGGACCACCTTTCGAGTACTTTACCGGTGTGGGATTGGTTAAATTACAAATGGCCTACGGCCATTCCTTGTTCTAAATCCCATTTTCATCGAGGTTCTCGTATTCGTACGCACACAGCAAACAGAGAGAACGTAAAACGGTCTGACGACGCACTCCGATGAATGCACACGGTGAATTCAGCAAAGACACATAAAAGCTATGTAATGCTCCGAGCTCGTATGTAACGAGACTTTGTCTCACAGAGAAAATGGTGAGCCACGAACGTCGAAGTTGCAAAATGATCGGTATTTTGTTTGTACCATATAAAGTAATATAAACTGATTTATAAAAGAAAGACACTTAATTTGGTTTATATGAAAGTTCATAGATAAGGTGATTCTTTCCATCTTCTCCATCGCACTTTCCGATTGCTTAGTCGTGAAATATTCCCTCGCACAATATACCACGAAAGTTACATACTTGAACGCAATAAAAGCACAAGTGACGTTGCGTGAATCATGCTGTTTTAACTTTTTATTTCGTTTCGTTTCATTCTGTTTCGTTTCGTTGATTCATTTTCCGTAAAGGTTTAAACGATCGGTAGTGTTTATACGAAGACGATATAGCACATAAACGGAAATTATTGCGGAAGGTAACAGTTTAATACAGCGGTTTTTTCCGTACAAAGACTAATACAACTACACAAGTGTGGATTGCCCCGATTAAACAAAGTCTAGCGATTTAATTGCGCACCACAAAGTTACATTTTTTTTCAACGAAGCGTCAACGATCCCTGTTACACGGCGGTTATCGGGAACGCGTAGCAGCGCTTACGGAAAATGTCAGTTGATATAAACGGGGGAAACAAAACTTGGTATTGTGGAAAACAGTTTGACAGTTGTTGCGCGTAGTCTGGTTAAAAAATAATAAAAGCCAGGGTTGCTATTTCGCGGTTTAACTTCAGTTTAATACGACTTCTCGTTACGTCATGGAATTTCCCTTTGCTCGAACCACAGTTTCGCTGGCTGGCCGCAGAAACAGACTAGAACCGAAATTTTAAACATACATAATTTGCAAATTAATGCGGATCTAATTTGGAAGTGAAATTTTGATCCACATAGCGTTCAACATATCGATAAGTTTGTTGAAAACATTCTGTCGCGGTAAAAGGCGCGAAATTATTAGGACCGTGAGCGCTTTGAGATTCAACAGCATGGAACACATGTTCGTGTGTGCACATAACATTATTTCTTTGAAAGAAAAATTGTTACGCTACATCGAGATAGTCGAAAGCGTCGTCTTTTCGATGACCGATTCATTTTTCACGCGACAATCGTGATACGCGCGTATTCTTTGGAGAATCAACGGCGATGAATATAAATAACGAAACTTTCTTAGCAAGTAAAGTATTTCGTGCTGTCGCCATATTTTACCCACGATTTTTCCATCATAAAGCAAAGGCTGTGAATACATAAAGCGTAGCTGGTTGAACTCTTGGAAAATATATCCGATAGAATAGAAATGTTTTGTTTTTACCTTGGTATCGTTGTGAATAAGACGCAGACGAAACTTGGATAAGACATTCAATTCGTTGACCCGTTCAACGGCTAATCTGGCTGCTTGTAACTCGCTAGTTCCTTCCGGTCTAGGTTCAGAACCTCGTGTCATCTCGAATAAACCTAGGATAGTTATGTTTATCTTTTCGGACGATTTCACATTCGGCACTGTAACACTGGATTCTTCAATTTCTTCTGTGTCTTGGTCGATACGCGACTCGTTCATCGAATACTTATCACTAGGCGATTTCAACATTGGAGAAGACGTTGAGAACGGGGAGACGTGCTTTTCTTCTGGGAAAGACTTTCCGCTGGCTATATTGGAGGATCGTCGACCAGACGATGCGCCGGGCAGCCAGCGATCATCCGTGATGTCGTCGGCTTTCTCATGCTCGTCGATAGCCACCTCCTGTCTTCGTTCCTCCTCTGTATTCTCATCGACTTTACGATGTCGGTGAAGGACGTCTCTGCCGGGACTTTTTGGTAGATCCGGTGGCATGGTCGACGGATATGACGCGATTGTGGTTTCGGGAATATCCATTTTAGGCGGACCAAAGTGCCTTCTATCAAACTTTTCGACTTGAGCTGCTATAGGCGGCTTGTACGTGACTTTTATAGGAAATTTTTGCGAGCCCTCGAAACCCGTAAAAGGGTCCTCGCTGCTCTCATTCGAAGTCGGTGACAGATTGCCATTTACTTTCATCGAATGAACTGGATTCTCGGTCCCATTGTTTCTTTTCGCTTCGGAATTATCCGCGTCTTTATCAGACCTATTTCTTCTGGTAGATCTCGAGCCGTCGTTCTCCGTGAATTCCTCGCCGTATTCTTCGCAATCGTGAAACGATTCTTCCAAACCGAGAAGGTTCATTCTCATTTTCCTCTCCAATTTATGCTTCCGGTCAAAGTTCCTTTTCATTCTCAGCTCAATATGTTTTTCATCGCGATAACTTACACCGTTCATCAAAGTCGTACCACCGATTTGGTCGTCGATATTGGCTAGTAGTATATCATTTTCCCGTCGAAACTTCCGCTTCTGGTGTCGCCTGCGAGACTCGCCGTAGTAACCGTTCACAATATCAGCCGTGACCGTAGCGAATCGCGAGTCGTCGCGCAAATACGCACGATTATCTTTACCGAATGATGCGACGAACTTATTCGTCACGTGGTTAACTCGTTTTAATGCACTCGTTCGTCTTCGTGAGATTCGATCGACGTGAATTCCTGTCCCGTCGGGTTCATCCGATGAGTCGGAAATTTCGTACTCGTTCAAGCCATGCTGTATCAACTCCCGAGGATCGTCGGGAACTCTTCGAGAATACTTTCTACCCGCGGTGTCGACGAGGTAAGGAAACGATGTAAGATCATGACTTTGAGACCTCGCTTTTTCATTGCACGGCAGAACGCTACGAACAGAGGCGAGACCGAGAAGGAGAAGGATTAGGTTGCAAGAAAGGTGAAAGGTCTCAGAGGATGAGAATGGCAGGAGGAGACGAGAGAAATCGCGGCGCGTATGGACGCGCGTCATAATCAGTCGCCGTCGCTGTTTCGACGACTCAGGGCGCTTTGTCGGCTTGTCCTCATCTGAAAATTAACATACACGTACTTTATTCTCAATGCGGAATAATATAATTAATATTCTCGTAAATATGTATATGTCGCTTTAAACCGTCTGTGAAACCGTGCAGAAAATTTCCAGTTTAGTCGGTTTGTCTGTTAACAAAGATTTTTCGCATACATTATATGTGCACGTGTATGTATATATCAGTCCAGGTCGATCGTGCGATCGTGTGAACTTGGTAAGGGGCAATTAGCATTGCAAAAAGGGAGGAATAATGTTGTAGCGGTTATTCTGTCTCTTAATCGAATTTATAGGGACGGGAGATATCGTTCGCCATTTCTGTCTATTGTTTCTCCTTTATTACGATTAATAAATTCCAGCAAATCTATTCGCCGCACAAAACTGCCAACATCTGTCAACTTCAGCAACAATAAATATACTTTTATCGAGAAGTATCGTACCAAACGCTGTTTCTGCTTCACGGATAGAAAATCTGTGTGCCCAGTCTGCTTAACGTAATGTCGCAGAAACGGGAACACGTATACACACACAATTGCACAGGCTATGTTAATGAGCTCTAGTACCCTTTTATGGTTGCGTTAGAGAAGCTTCTGACCTTCTTTGAATGAGCTAAGTACGCGTAAACGATGATAGCGATTAAACAATGGGATTTAGTTTATTCGCTTCCCTTCGCGTTACGTAAAACTGTACTTACGAGCGAACAAAGATTCCCTCTAGAAGTTTTAACGTAATTGACTTTCTATAGCGAGTAACGGCCGCCATTGTTACGCACTCCAATGTGACTTTTTAAACTGCGATACTGATGCAGCTTTATTGCATGCTATTTTCAGTGTTTTCTTTTTTTTTTTTATTATACATGAAAATGTCAATTGAATTTCAAATTTCTATGCATAGATATACGTACATATCACGTTTGTACAGGGTAGATTATAGGCACGTGTAAGCATCGAAATCAGTATCAGTATCTTCTAACTCTAATCGCATCCTGACGTGCGCGGAAATGTTGAGAAAATGGAGCGGTTATACAATAACGTTTCTAAATTCGATGTTTTAACTCTTTTCTTTTTTGAAAGAAAAAGCGTTAAAAATTCACTAGAGCTTTCGTTTAATCGCGTCTTTTTCAAGTATCTTCGTCGCGTTAAATCCGTATCCTCGACAATAGAATGTAAATGAATCTCGCGACTTAGCCTAACTATCGAGCCTAGTAAATATGTAGTGTTTCCCGAATATCGACAGGTTTATCGAATCGACTGCAAGGCAGCATTTTCTACAGGTCGGTTTCGTATAATCCCGCCTACCCTCAGTTTATTTCGGGCTGCTCGAATCGAGCAAAGAACGGAACCAACATAACCTGTGACACTTTCGATAGGCAGTCAGTTGTCAGAAGAGTGGAGATTCCGAAGTCTGAAGCAGAGGTGGTGGGCCTTTCGACCCCCTGACCTACCACATCAGACCACACCACGTGAACTCGAGCTTCTTTATGCTTGGTCTGTTTCCTTGCGAAGAACAGATGAAAGAAAGAAAACGTAAATGTAGACTAATGGTAGCGTTATATTGGTAAGTAGAGGGCAACTGAGAAGCAAATAAAGAGATGACATTCGTGTACATGTAGAGAGAGTTGCGTAACGTTTCCAACTGTTATCGATATATTACTCGCTGTCCATTAAATTGTTCGTTACAGCATGGAATACAGCCTCCAAAGTCTTTCTCCCTGAATAGCTATATTACGACATTAAGAAGGCGCTATAATAATCGTTAGATGGGTGAGGTAATTTGTTTATGACTGAAGGCGCAAATACGAGATCAGTTCTTTTGCTAATGGTGCGAGGATTCCTGCTAGGATGAACCGAAGCGGTAAAGAAAAATGTTTTAAAAAGTCAATCAGTTATGCAACCTTCCTTGCCTTCTTTAAGATTTGTGGCAGAAATAAGTTCGTAGCAAAAGATGCACGCTTTTGATGGATCGTACGAGCCATATGATTGCTTTTGCGTATCTGGAAACAGAATATGCCATTCCCTCGGGGTATCGGAACAGGGATTACTACTCTCGAATTCAATACTACGTTCATCTCGTTCATGTTCGATACACGTTTACGGCAGTTTCGCGAGATCTGTTCGTTTGCGGCGGATGTTCCGGGATCGTCACCGCGTTGGCGACGTCTAAGCACAAAAATTCGTAGAAATAATCTATGTACAGTAGAAACTGCGGAGCGATGATTTAAAAATGTAATTTGATGATGAATCGTTGTTTGAGGACGGGAATTACGAAAAATCGAGAAACCGGCGTATTCCATAGAATGGTTTCTCTTAATTGTTAAATTATCCTGAGATAAACGTATCTATTCTTCTCGCAAATACCAAACGCGAGATACCATACATTTCGAATAATGAGGTTAGGAAAACTTGAAATGAAAAAACGAAAGAGAATCCCGAAGAAAAAGGCAAGCAGACTTTCTGCTGCTAAAGCAGAAAAAAGTTCATTAATTTTGACCAAAGTTTTCATGCCGTAGCAATCTCTTGTTTCTAAAACGGCAAACGAAAATTATGATCTATAACATCAAAGCGTGGACATTTCTACAATTTCCACGCTGTGGAAAGTCGACAAACATAATTGCGTGTAAATTATTATCGTATAGCAGCTCTCTAATCTCTCGGTTACAGATTCATGAAGTGGCCCCGATGTGAAGGTATATCCAGAGTGACAAAGCTGCATTAAAGCATGGAATTTCACTTTCATTAAAGAATTTCAATTTAGTAAGTCTCATTATTTTTTAAACTCGTTAACGCAACCCATCGCGAAACTGAGTCACAGAGTGACGAAGTGCGCCTTCGTTTAAACGCGAAATTGCACAACGGAGTAGGAAAGTTTCGACGATAATGTACGTTATCGTGAAATTTAAATGACCGAAATAACAAACGAATTTGTTAACAGTCGTTACCCGTACTTAAAAATTTTGATGTACTTGTTCATAGCGGATACGAGGAAAGCACTATGTTTGCGAGTCACATGCAACTTAATCAATTGCATTTATTAGAATTAATGAGGAGACACGGAGGTTCGTTGCGGCCTTAAAAGCTTCGTTTGGGCGAGTTTGCTGCTTGGTTCGTTTACTTATTTACGGAACTTTCATGTACACTTTTACACAATTGTTCCACCATCGTTAGAGTCTGGTTGAAATAGCGACAACAAATTATTTTTCATTATCGAAGAAGATAATGTAGATTTTGGAAGTGGCGTAAAACCAGAGATTAGGGGCCGCGTAAAGTTTCTAAAATTGCACGGAGTATCAAAGAGCCTTTCTGACCTTTATAAATACTTTTTCCGTAAAAGTACGTAGCAGTAAACCGTAAAGTTAGAATATTTTCTTAAGCAGATAAGCGAAACAATGCCGTAAATGGGGGAACTTTCAACGTAGTTTTCACAAATGGTCTGGTACTTTTGATATTTAGCAGGAACAATTTTTTTTATAACACCGGTATTCTCCCTTTTTAGGCAAATTTAATATCGTGAAAATTTAGTCTGTAATCGAGATATTAACTACGGGTTTCCTATACTCGTAAAAAAAATCGCTGAAAGTTGGGACGAGAGGCTTTTACGATATTTATGTCAGATAAAAGGGATCAAGAAGTACGAATTACCGTAAAATCACGTAATATTGCTTCAAACGTCGCATTTTTCTTGGAAATGAATTTGAAGAAATCGTCCACATCGATTTTCTTCGAATATCTTTGCGTAGGCGTTTCTTTCCTTTCTTTTGAACTTTATAACACTCGAACCAATCTGTTTGAATTTTCTTCGATAAACGTGTCACTTTTAAGATAATACTTGCAATAACTAATAATTGTTATACAGTTTTTGTACAAGCAGTTGTCGCCGTTTGCTTCCTTTTCACCAAGTCTTTACTCGAACCGTGACCCGTAAATTGATTCTTTCATCGACATTGTTTTGTATCCTTTATCCTTCGAAAATACCTGCACTTCTCCCGAACCATCAAACAAGTTCCCATTAGAAAGATATCTCCATCAGTCTCTTTTTTTCACCCCGTTTGCTTCTGTCATCGAGTTTTTTCTTTCATCGCAGAAGTGTACTTTGTAAATACGTTTTGCGCGTTTATTCACTGTGCGTTCTCGCGTTGCACTGTGAACCAACGATAGTTCACGATGACATTTTGTTCACGGGTAACGAGCGCCGTATAATCTGGTTACTCGCTTGCTCCGGGATATATCCGAGCATTCGGTCTTTGTGTTATTTACTTATGATCTATTACGTTTGTACGATGAAGCTGCAAACGACGACGAACTCTCTATTATAAAAAAGAAACAATGGGTTGGAGAGATACGAGGGCGTACGGACAACCAGTTGCAAGCGTAACACAAGTCATTCGTATCTTCTGTCTCTTGCTTTTGTCTGCGCTGTTTTTCGAAAATAGCCGTATCAGATGTCTTCTTGAAATTTGGTGGAAGAAAAGTGAAAGTGGAATGAATGCGAAAGATACAGGACAGAATGGCGTGCAGAAGCGTATTAAAACCTAACCGTAGGCAATCCGTAGCGACGATGAGCGCAGAAGGTGTCGCGTCGGAGCAACCGCGTCGCGTGCTGGCGGTTCGCGCACTGTTGGCTCCGTGGAATTCTGCGAGCCTCGTCTCCTACAGGAGTTCTCGTGACAGCCTGTCCTGGTAATGCGCAGACGCTCGTTTCTCTTGCATTTTCCCTCGAATGGAGAGATATACTTCGTTCATCAAACGACTATTTACTCGTTGATTTCTTTCGAATTTCACTTTGCGATTCAGCCGTCTCAATGAATCCTTATTGTTTCCTTTCGTTCAAAGACCATTCTATATATTTTCCTTGAGAAATGTAATTTATGAAAAGCAATGGTTACCGCAGCAGCAGCAGTATTAGTTGCAAAGGAACACCAGGGATTCGAAACATTCTTCGCAAAGTGAAATCCTTCGTCTCTAACTTATTTTTCGCCGACGTTTTCAAACTTCTCTCGGACTTGCAGGAAGAAGTTTGTGCGAGAATACTTCAACGTCACTATATGCTTCGATCGGTATAGTCGCCTCAAAGGCTTTTCCTCTTAATTTTGAGGCCCTTGTAGACATTGAAACATATTGCGATGCATATATCGACACTTAGGTTTTATGATGCATGTTACAATGTATGTATTTCGGTGTCGGCAAATCGACATCAGAAGCAACGCACGATCGATGCATTAGTATAGGTGCAGGAATCAGAATCCCGTCTTAGTCGGTGAGCAAGGCCCGACTAGAACGCAGGTTTCAACGGGTAAAAGAGCGACATCGATACCGAATATAATCTATAATAGACTTTTATCATTATATTTTATTTTTCAATCCTCGGGTGAACTTCATCAAATGAATATTAAAAACGCAACTAATTTCTACAATCACTAGATTCATTTACTCATTTCATCATTCATTTTCCTAATTAATCATTGCTGTACACATTTCTTTATAGTTTTTAAGTTTTTATTTTTTGTAGTCAATATACCTCCTGTTATTGATAATAATACTGGAGTTGGAAAATAATCAAAGATTTTGAATCACGCGTTTCAACGTTCGCATCACACCAACGCTGAGAAGAATCGGTAATGTGGAGGTAAACTGAAACTGGTTTATATAGGTTTCACGTAACCCGCATATATGCATGGTAACACGTTTCAATGTATACAGGGATCTTTATAGCGAAAAGTTACATTCACGTTCAATTTGATCAACAAATCATCCGACGATTTATCGTTTTGGAAACACCGTTTGGTCTAAACGAACTTACGATTATTTCAGTCGAGCGTAAAACTATGGTTGTGTTTGTTAACGAGCCATGCGGCCAAATTACCAGGCGCAAAGTAACGCGAACTAGGAAGTTTCGAAATATCTATTCGATAATGTTTTTAGTAGGCAAATCAGTGTATATCCATATTCAAATGAGGGAGCATTGATTGCTTCGAGGGAAAGTAGCTTAAATAAATTACGTTGTTCGAAAGCGCGAACATAATTTCCAGTTGTCTCTCTGGCAATCGAACATGCAAATATGCGACAGACATACCGAAGCATGTAACCATATTAGGAGCCAGTTATCAATGCTCCCTAACAACCTTTACCAGTTTCAATTGGTCATTTATTTTATGGTCGACTTAAAATAATTTTGTCGATGACTACGCGTTACGCGAGTGCCAACTTGAAATTTCGTCTCAAGTACGTGACGTTGCTCTTCTAACATCTTCGATGTACTGTTTTGCTCGAAAAGAAAAATAGTCTCGAACGTGTGAAATTTACTTTTCATCTTATAGATGAGTATCATCGAGTACAACGTCTTGGTAAATTTTCATTCCCACGTTTGGATTATCATTCTATAAATGCGAGATTTTTAATCTATCTCCCGATTGACAAATTAAAGCTTATTTCGGAAGGAGACCATAATGTACTAATTCTTGTCACAGATTTAATTCCATCGTATCTCAAAAGGCTTGATTACGCGAAATCTTAAAGAATATGGTGGCAAAACATGGATTTTAATAAATTATATGGAGTTTCACCGATAGCGGCACGTACGAGCAAGAACCCTCGTGAAATTTTATGCAAATCGGTTCCGATCAAGTTATTCTATTATAAGGGGGCTACTTCACCAAGAGTTGATCTTTCAAGGTCTTGTTCCATGTTATAGGCAGTTGATCGAACGAACTCGTCCGTTTTATTTTCGTGGATTGTGAGGAGCGATTGCTTTGGGTTCACCGGAGAATGAATCGAATACAAGACAGGATGTTGGACCACCGGAGAGAGCGGTTTTGTAGTCGGTGTCGGCGAAGAATTTGCTGCTGCAATTTGTTTTACCGTTTTATGCACATCATCTATCCATGAGAAAGACGCTCGATTCTCGCTGTTATTTAATTACCAAGAGATTAACAATGAGTACTGTCCGTACGAAACATTGCCGCGTGATTCGTACATTCGTTTAGCTTCCTTTGCCCAACCACATAAAAGAGCGGCCCCCGCCAACTTCACGGATATGGCTCGTTAGTTTCTTAGAAGAGCAGAACGAGACGAACACAGACAAACTATGTTGGTGAAATCTATGGCGAAATGGATTCTATTCAGAGTCAGAGCGAAGTAGTGATATCGCACGAAACCCGTTCCTTCTTTTCCTTTAACCTCTTAGGTAAGATTGAATTTTATGCGGGGTTGTTCCTCTGTAGGACAGAGTTTGACGCGAATTACATGTAAACGATACAGCACTGCAATGTGTATCGGATAATGCTGTTCTCTACGCAAGCACATTGGAATGTAGTTTTTGATAATTAAATTATAATTTCTCTCAAAGATATGATGCATACATTTCAACTTCAATAATTTACTTTAATAATTAATAATACAATTGAGTGTGATATGTTTTAAAGCACCCTACGACACACAGGGCCACGTCACAATTTTCACACCCATAGCGTGATAGTGTTTTTCAAATTGCTCTTCGTTTTCTATTTTGAAGTTTTTTATTTTGACATTTTCAGCTTGAATATTTTACAAAATTATAAAGATACGGATCGGCATATTAAAAGGGGCACGTAATAATGGTATATTTATTTTAACGAAAAGCAACAATTGATATTTGACGCTGGTATAACAAAAACAAAGACTATATATCCTGCCTGTATATTGTTAACACTGTTATAAAACGTTACGAGGACAAGAAAAGTGTCAAACAAGACAAATGAAAAAGATTATTTGGTTGAAACGGTGAGCGAATGAGTCAGTAGAGTGAGCCACTATAATGGCGCATCGTAATGTAAGACGACATCCGCGAAAGCCACTATAGTGGCGTATCGTACCTACGAGGTTAAATCCCTTTAAGCCCAGTACAGACGTATGATTGTTGTCGGTGTGATCTCACTGCGATCATATGTTTGTTTTCGTTGTTTTTAACTGGGAGAAAAGGAAGGATATACGATCGTAGCGAGACAACAACGACAAAAGCCATACGTGCGCATCGGGCCCAAGATCGGCGCGAGTCCTTATATCCAATATGTTTTGCACATTTTCCTAATACGTGACGCGAATCTAGCATTTTCGTTGCATAGTGAGAAATACAATAAATTTTTCTATTTTGCCTTGTTATAATGCTGGTCAGAATACTAAAATATTTCTCTTGGTTATATAGTTCTACATTTCAAATTTCCAATGACGCTGACACAATTGAATTTATCTACTGATAAAAATTCTACGATGGCGAGCTCCGTTGCAGGAAAGTCAGTACGCTTTATTAGACGATGTCGGCTGTCCTTGCTATGATCCCATGACAGAGTCAGTCTAGTCACACAATGTTTATTCGTCTTGTTGCGAGCAGCGTTGTGATGAAAACTCAGCTGTTGGTTTTGTCTGCCATGGCAACTCTCTGGGATACAGATCAGCTTATCCGTTGAATTTTAAGATATTTCTTACATTTATTCCAAAGTAACAGAATCGCAATTTCCCGTCATTTGTTTCACACACTTTGTTAGATGCTGCGAACTGTCATTTCAATGCGATGCTATTTAACGAAACTCGACAGAATCGATCAGTAAAAAAATGGGGGAGAGTATAATGAGAGGGAAAGAATA